AGATCCAAGGTTTCTAGGGTTGCATGTACACCATAGGAGTGTTAGAATGCTCAAAACCCATCAGATACAAGGGTAAAAAAGGAAATACACATTTACAGGACTAAACTCAGAATAATGTAAGCAACAAACTTTTATCTTTTTAATCACAAGTTCTTAAATTCTTGATGTTTTGTTTTAGTCTTCCAGTTATTTTTATCTTTATATATTGGACAAATAATGAGGAATAACAATGCCTATATTAGTAAAAAGATCAAGTACATTGCTAATTCCCGTAACTTTCTCTCATATATATTTGTTTTTTTAACCAGGTACGAGATGAGCTTAAGAAAGAAACCCTGCAACTTGCTAGTAAGTTTCTTACTTGATGTGTTAGCCTTTTTATCAAATTAGTAACCTAAATAAAGTTGAAATAAAGTAAAAATAACAAAAAAAATATGAAGTGGATAATCTACTCCATTGAATATTTGACCGTGGATTTATTTACCAAATGTCTAAAATACCCTTGAATAATATACGAGTGATTTTATGATATGTTTGTTATGCAGGAGAAAACTTGGAAAAAGAACCCCAGATAACTGAATTAAGGAACCAGGTGAGTTTTTCAGGGCACTTAAAACTCATATAACTGGAATTCCAGATTCCATTCCATCATTGCATGTTTGTTTTGCTAAATCAATGGAAATCAGTTCCATTCTTTCTTTTTTTTAATAATAGACCAAAATACCCTCATTACGTGTATTGAAATAATAAATATAGAAAAAATAAAACTTACGAATCATTTAATTTTATTATTGAATTTTATTCCATCCATCCAACCAACCAACCAAACACATTTGCTTTATTCCCTCAAATTCCAATTCCTTCAATAGATTCCATTCCGATTCCTTTTTGTTAACTTCATGTGGTGAAACAGTGTATGATCATACGAACAATGGAATTAGCATCTGCTCAAGAAAAGTTAAATGAGCTCAAGAAAAAAACCCAACTCCTTCAATGTTACTCCCCGGGTTCCTTGCTAAACAAGCTACAAGGTATAATAAATATATATTTTCTTTAAAATTGATTATTTGTCATTTTTGGGAATTAATCTAATGATATATTGTTGCTGATTTTACTTTAGAGTGTATGAATAAGAGTGTATGAATAAAACGGATGAGGAATCAGAAATGCTACATGAACAGCTTCTTGGAAAGGAGATTGATGTTGTGACTTTTACTAAAAAGTATAAACAACTTCGGATTAATTACCATAAACAGTCTCTCACCTATCTTGCAGCCAAGACTAGTGTCGTTGGCTGATCGTATTTTTAACAGGTTTAGATGTCATAAACTGGTAACCAACTATTTATTTTTTTATTCACAAAACATCGTTGAAAACTATTAAAATAATGGTATTTTGTAAACACAAAGTTTCAGTTATTTGAAGAAAAAAGCAACGGTGTTTTGTCAAGAAAAAAATATAGTTCTTTACTTATTTATGAGATTAAAAAGCAAAATTCCAAGATTCTTGTGTGTTGAAATTGAAATTGTTGTTATGAATTTTTAGGGGATGTTTTTTTTTCTCCGCTAGTAATGTATGGGTAAAGTAATTGATAAAAGGACTTTTCTTTTTTGGTTTAAATGAAAATATGAAGAAAAAAACTTATTGTTTTACCCTTCTGTCTGAAAATGACTCTGAATAATAGTTAACTGTTTATTTGACAATTATTATAAACTGACATTGTGAATGAAATAAGAGCACGTAAAAGAAGTGTCTTTTAAATGTACACATTGTTTCCTTTCATGGTTTGTATGGAAGTTACAATATTTTTTTACCACATGTCGATCACCATATCTTCATTTTTGCTACTTTTATCTTCCTCTCATGTCTTTTCATGCATTGGAGGTGTGTGTGGCATTT